CCGCTGCCAAGGCAACCGCGCACCGCCGTCACGTGACCCGCCGGCGGGGGCGCTCCGGGGCCACGTGACCGGGCCGGCTGCGGGGGCTGCGCGGGGGGCCACTCCCTGCGCGTGGATCTGGGACCCGGCCCGCCACGCACGTCCGGAGAAGCACTGGGGACCGTGCCCAGCTCCGCTGTCCCCCCGACCGAGGACCTTCCCAGGGGCCACCGCCGCTCGTAATACTGATGATGCATGGTGGCCGCGAGACTGAGCCAGAAAACGGCGTCCGCACCCCCGCACCCCTGGGGGCAGGGCCATGCGGCGGCGATTTCTCTGACCCGGGGGTCTGGCCAGCGAGTGCAGGCTGGGCATCTTTGCGCGGCCCGAGGGGTGAGAGTCTGAGCGCAAAATGGGAGCCCCCGGTGTCACGGCGTGCGCCCCTGGGGATGCCCGAGCTCGGTCGCTGGCTGGTGGGGGCCGGGGAACGGGCACAAAGGCGCACCCGCTGGGAGCCTGGGGGGAGGAAAGGGTGGGAGATGAGGCCGCCTTTGCAGTGGTTACGATGGCCCCGCTCGCACGCCCTTCTCAGGCCCAGCGAGACCCGCGGGCACGGAGCCCAAGGGCAGCCCGCCTGGGTCTCCGGTGGGTGGGTGCGCTGGGCCACCTCTCAGCTGACCTCCAGCAGGAAGCACCTGAGGTGTTTCCGCGTCCACCCTTCCTTTTCCCTGCTGCCTGCCCCGCTCCCCTTCGCGAACGCGCGGGTTCTGGTTTTACGACCGAGATAGTACAGCAGGAATGTTCTCCTCAGGAAGTGCACATGAGTAATTGGCTCAGAGGCAGGACGGGTTCACTTGAGTGCATCGGTGCCAGGCGGCCCCTCGGAGCCCTTCCACGCTTGAAAGGCGGCTGCCCTACATCCGGTTTTCCCATCTGCCACAAGAGCATTAGACTGTGACACATTTATCTGAAGGAAGGAAAAAATTCCACTTGTGTCAGCCCAAGTTTTCTGACAGTAGGAAGAGTAGATGGTACAGATGCCAAGGCAAATCTAGTTGTATTTCAAATAGCATTTCAGATCCAGGCTGACACCGGACTAAGTTTTTCTCCGTTGGTACTGACCTCACCAGCTTTAGTTAGTTAGCCTCAGATAAAGGGCAGAGGAAAGCCCCAGGGTCTGATACTCCTGCTTATGACAGATGTCTACAGATAGGGATCATGTGCGTTTGTTTCCTTGTGTGGGAGCAAGGGCCATGTCCTCAAAAAGCAACTATGCTGCCAAGCCCTCAAGCTCTTGTAGATGGAACTAGAAAACAGGAAGAAAACTTTGTAAACGACAGCGGTTGCATCATAGGTGAGAATTCTTTAGCAATTGTCGTTTGCTTGGTGAATTCTCACCCTTTAAGCCTGACTTTGCACATCCTTTGGGAAACTTCCTCTGCCACTTAGCAATGCCTCCCTCCACCGTCAAGCACGTTTACCCAGCAGGTCTGGGCAGAAACAAAATGCTGGTCATAATTACTTGTGCTTTTTAGAGCCAGTTTCTAGCCAAACA